TCTAAGCCACACTGCTCATCTGCCTAGCCTGTGGCTAGAAGCCATCCTAGGATAGTCAGTCAGTGATTGTCTGAAGTTCCCCCACTCAAAGTCATTTGACTCCTCCTCGGAAGTTAACGTTAGGTCGGAGCAGACTACCGTCTTCACCGCCAAATACGACACGCTAGCGAACGAAGCATGACGACCTCACCCCCAGCCCTTCTGTTCCCTCTGAATTCAATGATGAGGTAGACGATGCCCATGCCGACCTCCCTCCCGGACACGTATGGGATTATCCCTGTAAGCTCCTTTCGTGTCCTGACTACGGCAAGTCCTGGCTTCTTCGAAGCGACTTCTTCCTCCATCTGCAGGAAGAAGATTCACACAGGACAGCAACCACACCAGCTGTGCGCCGCACAATCGAGCAAGAGTGGCGGTACACGACCGATCCTTATTTACCGCCTCGAACGGCCCCAGATTTCCGTCCCCGAGATGATCCAGACGAGCACGTGTGGGAGTACGGGTTCAGAGATGACACTGGAGAGGTGATAAAGGGCAAAGGCACAATGAAGCAAATGGAGATGCATCGGGCATCACGGCGCCGGGAGATACAGGAGAGGCAGACAACATAGTCACAGTTTTGCTCGTACATTGCTGTGAAGGGATTTGCTTTATTCTAGTCTGAAAAGCTCTTAGTTGATGATCTATCCTGATAGTCCATGTCACGATCTGCGCGCTTCGCTGCTCTCTCCTCTTCCCTAGCGTATATTGCCTCATCTCCTGCTCTAATCTCTTCCGGAGGTGTTTCCGACCGTTTTCGCTTCTTGACCTCCTTAGCAAAGACATGCTTACCTAGTGCTTGCTCTTCTTTGCTATCTGCCGCATTAAGGTATTCGCAGAGTTTTGTTCCAGAAATGTGAACAAGTGTGTCTTCGTCACCCATCTCCTTCTGGGCGAGTCCTTCGTAGGCGAATTCGCTGAGGCGAAGCTGTAGGCCGGGATGATCAACGGGATTTCCTTCTTCATCACGGAAAGCCTTTAAGAACGTCAGAAACTTGCGAATATTGTTAAGAGGGTTGGACTTACCACATCTGCAACCCCTTCTACAGCTCGTAATTCAAGTCTGTCATCAGTAGTGAACAACTTGGGTCGCCAGACCGACAACGTTGCTTTACGCGACTCCTTGTTGCCATACTCAATGTGTACGCATACAACAGCCCGTATGCTGGCATCCGAGTCCAATATGTAATTCTCAGCTAGCCGGCCTAAACACGGCTTCTTCTGCGAGTATGCGACTTCAACTATGACACCTGGGTATTGTGCGTGTTTATGCCTGAATGATGCGTCTGGCTCGTACTTCGATTTAGAGGAAATGCTAGCGCCGAGACATATATGGGTTGATCGGGCAGGATGCACTTTTTGCGCGAATTCTGCCTTCTTGCCTGATCCGTTCTGTATTGTTTTTAGCTGGCTCCGAATGTCATCCTCCACTTTGTCGATGAAACGTTCGTGTATCTCAGTAGGCATGCGAACGACTAATTTGCGTTTGTCTTCGTCGTAGTCATACCTGGCGCAAACTCTGTTAGATGTAACCTCTGTCGTCTCTGAAGTCTACTAACCGTATCTTCTCGTCCACGTATCCCGAAAGCACATCGTCTTGTTGAAGCGTGCTCTCTATCTGATCGTACTCTCCGTCTGCAAGCTGAAACTCCGTCCGCGCGTCTCGCTCAGCGTCAGTTCCTGCCTGGATTTGTTTGAAAAGAGCGATAACACGATGCGCCTCTGCAAATGGCTTCTTCGCGGTCGATGGCGGCGTCAACGGGTCGTCTGTGAATCTTGGGGGTGGCGTGACGTTCTGATGCTTCATTAAAGCTGCTTGCGATATGGGCATAGCTTTACGTTGTGCTGCATCGCGAAGTTGGTTGGAAGCCGTCGCTCTCGCGCAATCGGACGGATCGACCGAACCTTGGCTGCTTTTGGTTGACTCAGCAACAGCGCCACACAGGCAAGGAGCCAATAACATAACTGTGGCTGATGGGACAAGCCATCCTGCATTGGCTGCAAAGGACCAACGTGCTTAGTCTACGATACCACCTTACCTACGACACAATTGTTAAGGCTGCAAAGCCTCTAATACATTGCTCTATTCCCAAAGTTCTTCTGCCCGTTTGTTAGCCGACCGGCCGACCAGCCACAGTTGACAGCCTTGCACTGCGACCGCGCTCTTGCACGCGACTGTCAATTAATTAATTAATTAGCCTGCCTGATCTTCTGGATGCCAGACAAAGCCGAACTCAAACGTCGAAGAGCACAGTCGCAGAGAGACAAGGCCAGGAATTGTCGAGAGAAAGAAGAGGCGGAAAGAGAGGAGGAAAAAGCCAGGCGCCGACGAACGCAATCCCAGAGAGATAAGGTCAGAAACCGGCGTGAGGAGGAGGAAAGGATAACCAGGATAGCGCGGGCTGTTCAACGACAGCTAGCTCTTAGCTACGAACCGAGCCAGCCAGCAGCCGTACCGGTAGCGCAATCATCGATAATATCGCTTGTCGCCATAATGGAGGCACGCTCAGCCAAGTTCATGCGAGACATGGCTAGGTATTTACCCTTCAGACTTGCACAACTTTACCTAAATTTCATAGGATGTTTAATGACACAAAATACTCAGATGCCATGGTCGTTATCCAGGGTAAAAAACTACCTGTTCACAAATCTGTGATCTGCACGCAAAGCGAATACTTCGAGAAGGCATTCCAGGACGCGTTCGTTGAGGGAAGTTCAGGAGTACTCACATTCGATAATGGTAGTGGGGCCGCCCACTGGAGAGTGTTTGAATACCTGTACACTGGTGATTACTCAGACGATCTATCGCATGACTTCGAGGGTACGGTGGAAGTTGAACCCATGCGCTCGCTTTTCTAACGGCTACCAGATGACCCTGCGCTGCTGAAAGAGGCTCGTGTATACGCCCTCGCTAACATGTTCTTCTTGGAGGACTTGAAAGCGTTTGCGACAGCAAAACTTCAACAAAAGTTAGAAGAGCTCTGGACAAGCGAATCTTTTCCAGAATGCATTCGCGAAGTATATGCGACTACTCCGGAAAGCGATCGTGCGATGCGATCCGCTGTAGTAGAGGTTGCCAAGGACCATGTAAGAGAACTTGGCAAAATGGTCTTGTTCAAGGATCTCCTCCGCGAAGGTGGCGATTTTGCTGTTGACTACTTTGAAAGTGTTGTTTTTCCAGCGCCTCCAGCGGTCCTCTCAACGCACCTCCGAGCAGGCGGTCTTTTTGGTGGTACGTGTAAAAACTCCTCTGTATGGTAGTCAACCGCAATGCCTTGCTTGAGAACATCTTTGCTCCGAGCTAAGCGGTCTTAAGCCAACGGGGTTTTACATAGTTAGTCTGATGGACAAGTAGTATTATAATTAGTAAGGATGAGCAACATCAACAATGTATTAGCTGCACATCGAGTGGAAAAAGATGGCGAAGCAACATCACGACGTTTTAGCTATTATCTGCGTCATTCATCCATGCTGCATAGTATCCCCCTCACAGGTCGTACGGCACATCTTGACTTTGACATACATCACCAAAAATGATACGCGCGATGCCCGCAAGCATGATGACAGCTAAAGTTACCACAAGACATAGAGGTACCAGAGAAAGAGCACAAGCGTGCGCATAGGAGAGCGAAGGCTGATGAAGACTTCGACTACAACTGCTCTTTTGCTAGTACATCTTCGCCTCTGGGGCTCTGTATGGCTGTTGCATAATCTCAATTTCCTCAACTCGTGTTCCGCTTGTTCGTAGGACTTTTGCCCTTTGCGCTGGATTACTAGCATCCTGCTTCAGCGAAGCGCTCTTTCGTTTCCGACCGCGTTTCTTCATGCTCGTCGCAGATCTTTCCGCTTTTAATCTAGCACTCGCAACATGCCCTGCCTGGCACATGCTTATCCGGAAAAAATTTAGGCACTTTCGATATGACTCATTGATTAGTCTGAGCGTATGAAAGACAGGAAGCAACTCGCCCGACCATGGGAGCCTGTGGCGTTACCATGAGACTTTACCTGTTTCAGTTTAGCTCTTACCAAGAGTAATTTTCCATGGTAATTTTACCCCTGCATGGTAATCTTGGCAGGTGGGTCATGGAAATCTGACGAATTAGGGTTAGGGCATTAGGGTCATTAGGGTACCTAGGGTCAGGGTTGATAGGGTTAGGGCCTCTGAAATATTTTCAAATCGTGTTTCTATACTGTTCTGAATCTGTTCTAAGCCTGCTCTGAATTTGTTCGCCTATCTGGGTTAGCGTACTATGATTCTGGTGTAGCGGCTTGGCCATGGTAACGCGCTAAATTCCCATGGTCGGGCGACATGCCGACACTATGAAAGAAGACCAACCCATGGCATTGCTAGGGAAAACTAATACAATTTGGGTAAGATCACCACTAAACGAAAGAGGCTTAGAGCGGAATCAAAGGTTACCTGCTAACAGAAATCGGAAGCTGCAAGTGCAAGAGAACGTACATACCTAATCACTACGGACTGCAATTCGCTGCCACGAAACGACATCTGGCGAGCTGCAGACAAACATATGTTATGTAAGCCCTAACATCGTGCACCTAGATGTCGAAAAATGATCAGTAAAGCCAAGCGTAAACGAGCCAGCAAACAGCTTACCAGTAGCGCGACAGGCCAAGGGTTGTGGCACAACAATCCTTTGACTGGTAACTGATAATGCTTAGTCGCTCACGCCCCGATGTGCTCGTTAATCGCGTTGTTATGCATACAGTCCCTTGCACAATCGGCTTCCGGTCTGCGTAATATACAGAGCATTTAGCTTACAGGGATCAGGTTTCGCTTAGTACAGTCTAGTTCTCATTCAACTTAGCCTTGACAAGGATCTTGCCGATGATCTCGAGTGGCAGTCAGCTCACCAATACCAAGTCCCGATTTTGATAACGTCGCAGCAAATGTACAGTATAGAGTGCAGGAGCAAGGACAGTGACGGCGTTATGCATTTGTAATGGAACGATTGGAGCAATTGAATAATGTACACCGTATAATGGTCTCTCCAGGTTATCACTAGCCGCGGCTACGTCAGATGAGGACTAGCTTGTACTAAGCGCAGCCGGATCCCTGTAAGCTAAATGCTCAGCGTATTATGCAGACCGGAAGCCAATTTTGCAAGTGAGTGTATGCAGAATTGTGTGACGATCATATTGATGCGTAGCCAAGAATAGACAACCCCACTTCTTGTGATAATAGCGATTGCGGCTTCATCCTTACATCTAACTGCGCAACCGCTTTGGACAGTCTTATTTCCCGTACATAGCCTAGCGCTAAACCTTTGCCACAAAACAGTCGATGCGATTGATCGGCTATTGGCCTAGCGATGACTTACTTAGTGCAAAATATTGCGGATCGGGTCTTTCCGTGCCAAGATCTCTCCAGGTGGGGTTTCATGATGCGGCACTGCCTCCGTTGCAGATGTTCTTCCACCAACACCATCGACATTCAGCACAAATTTTGCCTCTGGAGACAATGCCGGAAAACGAACACGAATCGGCGTTTGATGAGGCTTTGCGCCAAGCTATGCAAATTGGCGTCGAGTTAAAGAACGAAATCGAACGACTTGAAAATCATTCGCCTCAGCTTATATTATTTGAGGGGACGCTGTTATTCTACCTAGAAGCATTACTTCTCCTGAGCTCTTTGCCAAACGAATCGAAGAGAAGTAGTGGAGATTTTGTCGACATCTTGCGCCAATGCGGCTCGAAACGTCGCAACGCTCGTCTTGTCGCTCAACAGACCCCAGATAGTTGGGCAGGAGGCTTCCCACAATTGACACTAGCTCTCCAAGGATACTCTCACACAATAATCTGTTTCGTTTTTATCAAGGTGGGGTAATGACCTAAATCTTCCTTCCGCTCATTGGCAGCAGCTAAGTGAATTAGATCGTCTATCAACGTGCAGCAGCAAGTGGTCCGGATACTCAGCACAATGGGTACATATTATTCGACCATACATTTGTTGAGTCTTTACAATGGCACGTCGAACCTGGATCAGGTCCATCCGGCTTCCGAAAATGCAATCCAGGCCCTCCCAAAGAACGTCGAGAGTGTGGAAGACATATGTGGGATCTGTTTGGCTTCAATGGAGATCGCCAAAATGCCCTGTAACCATCAATACCATTCGGAGTGTCTTTCTGGATGGCTAGGAACTGCTAATTCCTGTCCTAACTGTAGGAAAAAACTACCTGAATCATAGATAGTTATTGCAAGTATAAGTATAATAAGCATACCGAGTACAAGAGCATGTCAACTGGATACCTATGCTAAAATTAGGATGGGCAACAGAAGGGGCCTTCTTAAGGAGTGCTAAGAGTACCTGGGATAAGAGAGCATAGAAGAGGAGCGTGATTACTACTCATTGTGCCAAACGAGATTATAGAACAATGGTCGGATAGCGCATTTTACCGCTGTAAATACATCTCGCTACTCCTTGTATCTAGCCCTATCTATGTTCCCTACTCATTAAGCCAAACGGAATTATGGTCGAAAGGGAATTATGGTCGGATAGCGCGTTTTACCCCTGCCCATCTACCCACCACTTCGCAGTAGCACATACTATCCAAACGATATTGAAAACAGATGCTACTCAGTCATTGAGACCGCGAATTCCGGGAGTTTCATTGTGCAGAGCAAGAAACACGAGGAAAACTCCCAGTGTGGCAAGGGCAAAATTTAGTATACGTCCCACCACGAATCATGGGTCTGCATTAGTGCATTGACACCTAGTATATATAGAGTCAGCATAGTCCCCAAACACTAATACTCTAATAGTATACTGCGACTTTGGATATCGCGATGCATCTTGTTACAAAGATCCACAAGAACAATCGGCTCATTTGTCAATTGACTAGAAATCTTGTATTTCTTTAGGTGCCAGACAAGTTTCGAACTATACACAACAGGTAATATAATTACATTCAATATGTATATCGATCAAGTCAAACATTGATATTCCAGCATTAGCGTGTATGCACGGCTGCACTTTCTCATTTCAAGAAACGGGTGAGGCAAGTGCTGGGGTATCAGTACAGCGCGTCAAGGTTTCACGGCTCTTACTGAAATGTAGCGTCTATCTCCCCAATTCAACCACGTGTCCGCGCCAGCCATGACATTGATGAAACGGTCTTGTATCCCAAACAGTTTGAATATCTGATAAGGCACGTAGCATAACACACCAAAGAGTCTCCACATAGGCAGCACCTCATCAGTCAGGTCTTCGAGGGAAAAGTCTTTGAATCCTGCCTCTTTCATGAGCTCTTCGTAAGCACCTTCTGGAAGTGTGTTTTGACAGTGAGAAAGTCGCAACACATCATGCAGTTTTCCCGAATCACGACTGATATCAGCTTCGTGTAGAACCAGGACACCGCCTGTCTTAAGGAGCCGCTTGAAATTGTTGAGAACTCGAATTGGGTCATCCGCATGGACAAAAGTCTCCATGGTGTAAATTCCATCAAACGATGCATCGGGAAACTGGCTCAGGTTATGGTAGTTGGCATAGTCGACTTTGATCCTGTCCTGTAGGCCGTATTTCTCAATATTCTTCTTTGCATCAGCGATGTGGTGCGGCGTGATGTCGATAGCCTGTACATCGAGGCCGCGTCTCGCCATGGTCATAGCGACGTACCCCGAGCCGGCACCAGCATCGAGGACTCGATCACCTGGCTTTAGGCCTAACCTCCTGTACAATTTATCCTCCATAGCTCGCTGAGCTTTGGATATGGGAAAGGGTGACAGCTGTCCTTTCGCATACAATCCACAATGCCTTACATTACCGAGGAGGAGCCAGTATCCGAGACGTGATTCGAGTGAGCTATAGTAGGCTTCAACGGACGGTTCAGGACCGTCGGTGCTCGCGACCAGACCTGCAATAGGGTGATTAAGAGCTGTGGACTGAAGCAATGAACAATGGAGACGTACCAATCAATATGGAAGCCAGCAAGAAAAGAAATGCATCCACGTATCGACGGCGAAAAGTGCAACCCTCGTAACGCTTCGTATTAGGCGGCATTTTGAGAAGCCTTGATGTTTTTGTAACAACAGATACATGCAGGTGTTCCTCTCGTTGTTATAATAATAGGGAAAAGACTAATAGAGAGTACCAGAAGCAAAAGTCACATTACTGACTGAGAGGGAAGTCACGCAAACATTTCTTACAGCTGACAAAGAGGGGCTGGATGCGCTGACTTCTCATCGCGAATTTTGCTGATCCATCTACGACGGAGAAATTTTCTCATCACCACCTAGGCTATTATCTAGGATATTAGGGCGAGGGTAAAACTACTATACCTAGAGCGTCGCCTAGCATTCCCAAAAGTAAAATCAGTGGAGGGACATTTGAAGCGGAAAAGACGGCCATTATCCACTTTACTCGCGAGGCGTATAAGAGTACCACTAAGCCCTTTGTAATAAAGGGGTAGAGTGTTTCGCCTGAGGACTACATTAAGATACTAGGCGTGCTCATGGAAGACAGGCTCAAGTAAAAGCATGTTATGATGCTGACCACGAGTGGTGGGAAACCCTCAGGGTGTCAGCAGGTAAGCGGTCGCCGCGGGGCGACGATCACGTGACTGGATTCACGCCAAGCATAGGAAAGCACGCTAAGGATGTGAGGACACTCCTTCACGTGACCTGGTGTCTTCAGGGACTTCAGAGGAAACAGGGATTATTTTGTGGAGTTAGTGAAAACGGGACAGATTGTAATGGGTTTAAGAATGGGTTTGGATTTCATTATTACTGTCAGGACTTGGGTACAGTCTGACTATACATACTATCCTGCGCACGATTATCAGCAGAACGCTGATTACTCGTACCTTTTTGGTTGCTGTTGGCGTAGTGGTCAACTCAAATTGTACTTTCTTACAAGTTGTTACTTAACAAGATTGTTACATTGTTACAGTCGTTAGCGATTGCGGCTTCACCCCTGCAGGCAGCATTCTAAAAGTCTCGTCATCATAAGACTGAAGATTGACCAGTCATGTTCAGCTGATTGCTCGCGCTAAGCTATGTGCGGAAGGTGGGGCTGCTCAAGTATGCTGCGCAGCTGCGCGTAAGGGTGAAACCGCAATCGCTAATGACAGTAGTGTAAGGGCATCATTTGAATATAATCAATTGAGATCAGAAATTAAAATACCAAGTACATAAGCATCTGGTGAGCCACGGCTGGCAATAATAAAGTTCATCACTATTCTCCATAAGCGTAAGCAGAGTCTGTCACGTGACCTTGTAACTCTTGTACAATTTCCTGCTGTAGCTTTCGCGCAAGATCCTTTGCGTATGCGTAGTTGTCGTAATCATCCGACGCCATTATCGTCCGTGTAAGGGTAGCGTGTTTCATCGACGAGAGCATCGCTTTAGAGCACGACACAAAGTACGATAGCGTCGCCTTGCATGTCATATCGAAGCAATACCGGTTTTGGCCCTTCACCCACTCCAATATAGCTTCATCCATTGCCCCTGGCTCGTACGTCCTCGTTACCGATACCCGTACACCTCCATTGCGGTTGGAAGCAATCGTAACACCCCCTGCCTGGCTATTATCAGTAGTCATAGTTATCTTACTACCCCGTGTTTGCGAATTACGTGTGCTGGTAGACGTAGTTAGGTAGTATCAATCGTTTCGTTTCGCCCTGGATTGGCGTTATCTCGTTTAGTAGGCTTAGTAGGCTAGAGCAAAACGTAGAAATTACTAAGGGTCCGATTTGCGCTAGACTATAATGGGCGAGAATTGGTGTCTGATTCATGTTGCATACGCGTATTTTTGGATCAGGGTGCGTGATTACCCAATTAGGATGTATCGGGGGTCAGATTCACGTAGCATCATATACTAGGCCTGGTGCTCCTTCATCTTGGCGTACATGCTCGAGGGATTTCATCCTATAGTAGCGCTAGAAGGTGCCCCTTTGCTGCATGTGTGCCCCTAACTGTAAGGGACTTGTTCTGGCTTTCTCTATTATATATGAAGCAAAATGTGCGCCCAAGACATTGCAATCGGTATACCACAATCCAGTACTCCGTACGTCTTTTAATCTACTTTCCATACATGATGGCTGCTGCGACTTCGAGACTACCTACCCACGGCCCGAACCAGGAGTACCGTTGCAACAAGCATAAAACTCCTCGCTATTACCAACTTGAGTGGAAACACTTGACGATGCCAGTGGAGAATGTGAAGACTGCCATAACCAGTGGTCTCCAGTATGACCTCTATGGTGTTGTTGCACATGAGCACATCCTCTCACTGGAAGATGCAGTGCTTCTCCCATACAACGGTCTCTGTTGGGACAAATGCTCAAAGACATACTTCGAACGTTCACTCTGTATTCTCGTGGATGCTGGAGTGATAAACAATTGCACTACTTCTTGCCAAAAAATCAATCTATCTATACAGTTGGGTGGCCATCGCCCTGACGTAGATAGCTTCCGCGCGAGTGGACTCCAATTCTACGATGAAGACGGTGTTGCACTTGAAGACAAGGAAACAGTGTTCGATCGTGTCTATCGAATGCAGGAACAGCTAGAAACCTGGAATGGAGAAATGTTTGGAGAACCGGTGGTTAAGTGAGAATA